TTAGAGAAAAGGTCTGAGTTAGCCAGGGGCCAGAGTGTGGGGCCTTGTATATGACTGGGCTTTCACTCTGAATGAGATCATCATCCTGGAGTATGACTGCCTCTCCTACTGGTCTAGGTGCTCCCCAAGGGCTGAGCTGGGGTCTTATTCTTCTCTGCATCCCAAGCAGTGTCAGGGCATGGCTCCTGAAAGGCCTCAAAACATGTCTTTAAAAATTAATGAGGGGCACCTGGGTGGCTCAGTCAGTTAAGCATCCAACTCTTGATTTCAGCTCAGGTCATGATCTCAGGGTCATGGAATCAAGCCCACACTGGGCATGGAGTCTGCTTGAGATGCTCTCTCCCTCTCCCTCTGCCCCTCCCCACCACCCCCCTCTCACACATTTTTTCTCTCTTAAATAAAAAAAAAATTAATGAATTAGTGGAGACATAGGTCTGTCTTTGGAAATCCTATCCCTCCATTGCCTGCCTGGCAAACTCTTAACTTCCTTCAAGATCTTTTAAGACATCTCCTCCATCAGGAAGTCTTCCCTGATAGCCCCCAGCCTTCAGGCTGGGTCAGTAGTCTCCTCTAGGTTCTCACAGTGTCTTGCGCTTCCTCCATTTTCATTTGTACTTCTGTATTGGGATAGTCAGTCTCCTCCATCATACTAGGATGTCCTTAAAGGCAGAGACCTGGAATGATCCATCGCCAGGTCCCCTGCACTACCCAGAATAGGACCTGAGCCTCCAGAAGCCTCAGACAGTATTTTTAAATAAATATACAAATGAAAATATGCTTTTCTCTGTCTGCCTAGCTCCTATTTATGCCTTAAAACCCCAGCTAAATGTCCCTTCTTCCACATACCTTCTTATGATTCTTGCAGCAAGTTCTCTCCCTCCTTCCCCCACTCTATCTCTGTCCATCTATCTGTATGCTGGGCCCAAGATACTTCTGTTATCACACATGCCACCCAACCCATAGACACTGTAGTTCCATGTCTATGTTCCCAGGGAACTCTGCAGGACAGAGACCCCACATCATTCATCTCTGGACCCAGCCCTTGTGAAGCCTCAGAAATACAAGGGAATGAATGCATCAGAGAGAACTCCTATTCAACCATTAAAACCCAACCCGGACATTCCCTTCTCCTTTATCTGTTGAATAAAAGGACTGAAGATTACGGTCCCAGGTCAGCAAGGACCCAGTCCATCTGGGGGGGACAGTGCTCACCTGCAGGAGCAACTTGCGGTAGCGATCATTGAGTAGCTCTGAGTTGCTCTGCTCCTCCTCCAGCTCCTCTTCCATTTGCCCCAGGCGTCCCTCCAGCTGCCGCTTCTCCTCCAGAATGGCTGCCCTAAGGAGAACAGGAACAGGGGGAGGTGAGAGGGTGCAAGGGCCAGGGAGGGTGCCCTGCCCCACATCACGATGGGCCACTCACTTGCTAAGGCTGCCATTGGCCAACTCGTCTGCCATCTCGTCCCGCTCCTGCTGGACTTGCCGCCGGGCACGATCAGAGGCAGCCAGTTCCTGTGATGGCAAAGAGGGCTGGTGGTCAGCAGTGGCGGGGTGAGGCTATCTGGGCATCGGCCTCCCTGCTCTCACACCTCAAGTCTCTTGGCCTGTCTTCAGTGCACACGACCTTCCATCCCTGGACAACCCTGGAATGAACTTCAGTCTACAGGCAGATGTCTCCTAAATCGGTCTCTCCAGAGCCCCTGACTCATGTCCACCGCCAGACACCCTCGCCTCAGCAGGGCCTCACTGAGCTCAGCATCTCCTTTCCAACCTGCTCCTCGAGGTCCCCCCAGTCACCGGGCCTGACCCCCAGGTCTCTCCTAACTTCCTCTGCCCCCTTAGGACCCACAGCCCTGTCCATGTTGACCCTTTACTTTCTCTGCCTTGTCTCCTCCCTGCCCCCATGGTCCCAGCTCAGGCCTGTCCTCTCTCCGCAGCCTTCCTGACTCTAATCTCCCCCTGCTCTACTCAGAACCCTCCCAGGGCTCCCTAGTACCCTCAAGTCCAGTCTGTTGGCCCCGCCCCCCTCCAATCCCCAGAGGCCCGCCCCCCTTGGTCTCCCATCCCAGGTCCCCGCCTCCAATCCCCAGGGGCCCGCCCCCTCAGGGCCCGCCCCCTCAGGGCCCCGCCCACCCCACTTCCAGGGCCACGTCCATTCTGCATCACCTCCTGCAGTCGCAGCACTTCCGCCTCCAGCGCCTTGAGGCGCTTCTCATTCTCCCGGTTCTGGGTAAAGATTTCCTCCCGGGAGCTGCGCGACTCTTCCACCTCCCGCCACAGCTCCTTCATCTGGGCCTGGGCGGAATGAAGCAAGTGAGCGGGTGCAGCCTGATCGTGACTCACGGGGAAGCCCCTCCCCTCGCCTCAGCCCTGCGGGGACTCCCCGGCTCCCTGAGAGCAAGCAAAGCCCTGCAGCCCGCCCCAGCCCCCGGCTCTGTGACCTTGGACCAGCCCCTCCCGCTCTCTGGGCTTCGGCTACCTCCAATTTAAAAAAAGTAACACCTTAAAACTAAAGTAAGCGTGAAATGGGTGTAGTATTTGGACTCTGCAGTAATAATAATGCTGGCGCAAACTTACTGAACATTTACCGTGGGCCAGGCTCTGTTATACACGCGTACTGACTCCCTTCATCCTCACAACTCCAGCTGGTGAGGACTAGTTTCCTCCCCAGTGTAGACATGGAACAACTGACGCCCAGAGAGGCTCAGCAACGAGCCAAGTGTGCTAAATGGCAGAGTCAGGACTTGAACCCAGGCCATCTGGCCCCAGGGTTTCCACTTCTAGTCACTTTGCTATGCGGCCACACCACTGAGTGTGTAAAGATGTCAGCGTAAGACTTTTCAATGGCGCTTAAAGAAAAATAAAACAAACTTGATGCCTACCACCATTAAAAAAAAACTCCGTAAAGAGGTCAGTAAGAACAGTACTGGGCTTGGTACTGGGCGGTTATGAATATTATTACTTGCTTGATAATAACAGCTTTTCAGTGCAGGCGCCTTCTCTCAGGGGTGACGTAGTGGGAAATTTTTACTTTTTGGAGAGGGATCTTTCTGTCCTAGCGCTGCCCAATGGGGAGATATTGCAAGGACATGCGTTGTTTTACATTTTCAAGTGGCCCCATTAGAAAGGTAAAAAGAAATGGGTGAAAGTAGTTTGAACACTGTATTTTTATTTAGCCTGACATATACAAAATGCTATTATTTCCATTTATAATCACTATAAAGATTATTGAGATATTTTACTTTTTTTTTTTTTTGGTACTAAGTCTTCAGAATCCAGCACGTAATTTGGATTTCAGCCCCACCAAACCTTAGATGCCCAACAGCCACATGGGGCTGGCACCCACTGTATCGGACAGTCCAGTTCTGTACTTTTTTACTTTTTTACAAAAAAATTAGACTTTACACGTACACATTATTATCACCAAAAAAAATTTTTTTTAAGTAATCTCTACTCCTAACCTGGGGCTCGAACTCACGACCCCGAGATCAAGAGTCGCATGCTCCACAGACTGAGCCATCCAGGCAACACCCCTCCCAATTTTTTTTAAACAACCAGATATAACTTTGATATTAGGGGAGGAACCCTAAGGCATTTACATTTCAAAAATTAAATAGAATGAAGAAACTGGACTTTCAGCTAAGCATTTTAAGTAAAGGAAATAAAAAATATAAAAAGCGAGTGAGCCTTTGGCACATGGATATTTATAGAGCGGCAGCTGGTGGGGCCGAAGGGGCCGACTCGCAGGGGGCTTAAGCCCCACCCCTACCTGCATCTTGCGGAGCTGCTTCACCGCCTCCTCCTTGCCCTGCGCGGCGGCCGAGTTCTGGGCTCTCAAGTCCTCCAGCTCCGTCTCCAGCTTCTGGCGGGCGGCCACGGCCAGGGCGCGCTGCTTGCGTTCCTCGTCCCGCTCCACCTCCGCATCCCTCAGCTGCAGGGAGGCCGGGAGGGGCAGGCTCAGGGGGCGGGAGGCCCAGGCTCCCTCTACATGCTAGTGACCTAGACGTGCACCCACCAGCCCCTGTCCAGGCCACCAGCGCCTTTCCTCCTGCCCTCTTGCTCCTCTACACCCCAAAGGGATCCCGGATCCTCGTCCCCAGAGCCCCAGGCTCTTATCCTTCCGAAGCCCCCTTTACTCCAGCCTCTGCTCTGCTCCCATGTGTCCCCTCCAGCCCATTCCCGCACAGCTCCAGAGGCTCCTTCTACACTCACGGCTGCCCTGCCCCTCCCATGCTCAGCACCCAGCTCAAGCCGGCGGCAGAGCACCTGAAGTCCCCCCACTGGCGAGTCATGAATGGATGTTGCCAACCACAGGGAGAGGGGAATGAGTAAATGAGCAAGGGAGGAAGGCTGTGGGGTGTAGAGGAGCTGGTCCTTGAGCGATGGAGGAGCGCTTGGGCAGGCTGGGGGGGGAGGGGGGCTGGGGGTTGGAAGTTTCTGGAAAGGGGGTAGCTGGGCGGATGGAGGAGCAGCTGGATGAAAGTGTTGGTTGGTGGAGAGGTTGTGTGTGGGTGGGGGGCTGTGTGGGTACCCAGGTAGATGCTGGGTGAATGGTCTGGTGATGTCTGATCGGGTATGTCAGTCTGTCAATGGGACATGCCTGTGGGTTCACGGGTGATGCTGGGTGAATGGGCTGGGGAGCAGGAGGGCCTTGGGAAGCAACACTGAGCAGCAGGTAGGTGAGTGAGACTTCCTTGGCCCCTCTTTCAGCCTGCAGGCAGCAGAGCCCTCCCAGCCGGATGGGCGCCCTCCAGCCTCCAGCCTCCAGCCTGGTCTGCTGGTACCTGCTTGGCCAGCTGCCGCCGCCTGTCCTCACCAGCCTCATCTCGGCTCTGCAGGTCGCGCTCGTGCTGTGCCTTCAGAGCCTGCAGGGTCACTTCCAAGCGCAGCTTCGCATCCTCGGCTGCCGTCAGCTCGTCCTCCAGCTCCGTCACCTGCACTCGAAGGTCGCTGGCTATCTGTTCTGCCGCCCTGCGGGATCGCTCCTGCTCATGTGCCTGGAGGGGATGGGAGGGTGAGCTCTGTGCACCTGGGCACAGGGAGGAGGAGGCCAGGATCCCAGATCTATCCTAGGACAGTGTGAGGGAAGCTTTGATGGTCAAGGTGATGTGCACATTCTGGTTTGCTCATTCATTCACCATTTCCCGGGCAGCTAGTTCCTAGGTGTCTCATTCTGAATCATCCTAAAACATTTCATTAATAACCTCTGCGTGCAAGTTCTGTTATCTGAAGCCTTGAGAGTCCAGTTCCAGTGTTTGTTAGGTCAGCTCTCCGTCACGGTGGATTATTTCCTCGTGGGTTTTGAGATTTTGCATCGTGAGCTCACTTCACTAAGGGGCTTCAGGTTTGGGAACATCCTGTGTGGACATGGGTTGAAGGGATGTTGCCCCAGACTCGAGTGTTGATTTGTGCTGGACCCCCCAGGATAGCGCCATCCCACTATCTCCTGTGATTTTTTTCTCAGCCCTTCCAGGGAGTTGTAAATTAAAATCCCAAACACCCTGTGAAGGCAGATCTGGGTTTATGAATTCTGAGACACCCCCCTCCCCCATCATGCCTCTCCTTTAACTGTCACCGTCTCAGAAAAGTGTTCCTTGGTCTGTCGGGGCCTCTCTGTTACCCATGCCGCTGGCCCTGAGCCCCTCCCCAACACAGCCTTAGTCACAATGGTCATTTAACATGAGCTTATGTGTCTTTTTGTGCAACGCCCACCCCCACACTGCACTGTGAATTCCACAGGGGCAGGGACCCTATCTACCTGTCAGTACTGCCCAAAGAACCTCATGGAAATTCTCATCAGGGACAGGGTCTACTTTCTGCCCGCAGAAGAGGCCAACAGGTTTCCCCTCCTATTTGGCACCTGCCATTCAGTTTTATTTGCTGGAAGGAATTCAGCTTTCTCCCATCAACATCCTATTCCCCACAAAGTAGGCCTTTGGAGTGACCATGTAGAACTTGGCCGTTTTCCCAAAGGAGAGACCTTAGTAGTCTGAGTATGAGCTGGATTTTGGCTCTAGAGTGCCTGGGGCTGCAGGCCAAGGTAGGTCACGGGGCTTAGGGGTTCTCTCCAGGCTTGGCTAAAAGCTCCATCAGATATACACTGGAGCGTGTGGAGAAGATAAAGCCCTTATCCGTTGTACCCATGAGAGTACGTTGTTGGCAATAAGGAAGGACATCAGGAGTGTGTCTGCCCAGGGCCTCACTGAACCACGTCTTCGGTCAGTGCCTCCCCTCACCAGTCAGGGGGGCTGGTGTCCCTGGGCCTGTCCTTGCTGCTGCTCCAGAAGTATATTTATTGGACAAACTAAGGAAGGATGGAGTGGAGGGTGTGATGGACCTTTCAGAAGGCTGGGATGCTGGCTGGGTGAGTGGGGACTGGGGACAGGCCTAGGCGACTCCTCCCTGGCCCTGGGGGGAGCCTGTATGTGCTCAGTGGGGTTGGGGGAGGCAAGGTGGGATGTCCTCACCCTGGGTATGTGGTGTGTGTGAGGGGATGGATTTGTGTGTGCAGTGTGTGTGTTGTGTGTCTGTATGTGGTGTGTGCGAGGGGATGTATGTGTGTGTGCGGTGTGTGTGTTGTGTGTCTGTATGTGGTGTGTGTGAGGGGATGTATGTGTGTGTGTGTGGTGTGTGCGAGGGGATGTGTGTGTCTGTGGTGTGTGTGAGGGGATATATTGTGTGTGGTATGTGTGTGGTGTGTGAGGGGATATATGTGTGTGTGTTGTGTGTCTGTATGTGGTGTGTGTGAGGGGATATATGTGTGTGTGTGGTGTGTGTGAGGGGATATACGTGTGTGTGGTGTGTGTGGTGTGTGAGGGGATGTATGTGTGGGGGGGGTGTGTGTTGTGTGTCTGTATGTGGTGTGTGTGAGGGGATATACGTGTGTGTGGTGTGTGTGAGGGGATGTATGTGTGTGGGGTGTGTGGGGTGTGTGAGGTGTGTGTGTGTGGTGTGAGGGGATGTGTGTGTGCGGTGTGTGTGAGGGGATATATTGCGTGTGGTATGTGTGGTGTGTGCGAGGGGATGTATGTGTGTGTGCGGTGTGTGTGTTGTGTGTCTGTATGTGGTGTGTGTGAGGGGAAGTATGTGTGTGTGTGTGGTGTGTGCGAGGGGATGTATGTGTGTGTGCGGTGTGTGTATTGTGTGTCTGTATGTGGTGTGTGTGAGGGGAAGTATGTGTGTGTGTGTGGTGCGTGTGAGGGGATGTATGTGTGTGTGTGTGTGGTGTGTGCGAGGGGATGTGTGTGTGTGTGGTGTGTGTGGTGTGTGCGTGTGCACACAGTCATGTTTGGGGTGTGGTTCTTAGGCTGTATGTTGTGGTAAATTCTCTTCACGTGCTCTGACTATTCATACACACATGCAATGAGTGGTTCTCATGCTCTGTGTACATATGAATGGGTGTGTTCTCCAGAAGATTCTCCTCCTGTTCTGTGTATCTGTATGTGAACATGCGTGTTGATGAATGGCTTTCCTTACTTCCTGCATGTGTGAACACACGTGTTTGGTGGAAGATTCTCCTCACACTCTGTGTGTGTTATGGGAGCACGTATGCCTGGTTAGCAGCTCTCCCCCCATTCTGTGCTGGGCATGAACATGTAACTTTGATGGCTGATGCTCTTCATGTTCCATGCATGAGAACGTGCACATGTGTATGTGCCGCCCAACGTCAGGGGTGCATGCAGTGGCCGGCATGTGTGTCTTGGGGAGTGGGGGCCCCTGCTCACGGTCTTGCCGGCATCATCCTTGCTGCTCAGCAGGGCTTCCATCTCTGCCCGCAGGGCCCGGTTCTGCCGCTCCAGCTCCTCACGTGCTTCCTGCTCCTCCTCCAGCGCCCGCGTCAGTGACAGGGCCCGAGCCTCGCGCTCCCGGCCCTCCGCCTCGACCCGCTCACGTTCCTCCACCGCCCGCAGTACAGCTGCCTTCTCCTCTGCCAGGAGCTTCCGGGTTGAGGGAGATGGGGTGGGGGAAACAGATTAGCTGAAAGGAGTGTACAAATGGATGGGCAAGAGGGAGCAGCCAGGGACAGAGAGAGAGGGAGACAAAGGCAGAGACACAAGAGGGAGGTAGAGGGATTAAAGTTGCAACTGTGTCCCAGACCAGCCCAACTCCTGAGTGGATCAAACTGATGAGCCCCTCACTCTAGAAACCCAACAGAGGAAAGGTGATTTCTTCCTCCTGGGGTAGTGGTAAAAAACCATGTACATAATTTTTAAAAATGTACTTCAACCTTTGCTGTTTTTTTTAAGACACAGAAATTAGCAATAATAAAACTTGCAAGACGTGCCGAAAGGGAAGAGAACAGGGCTCACGGTCAAGAGAAAAACCAGTCCATGGAAACAGACCAACAGATGACCTCCACACTGGGATCATCGCACAAGGACTTTAACGATGATTAGTAAACTTCAGGACCAGATGGATACAGTGGGTGAAGACCCAAGGTTATTGCAGGAGGGATTTGAAACTAAAACAGAACCAATTAGAGAGGCCAGGACTGAAAAGCATGATATCTGAAATCAAAAAGTCATTGGAGGAAACCGAGAGCAGACTTGACACATCAGAACCAGTAAACCTGAAAGCAGGTTGATAGACATGATCTAAATAGAGAGGGGGGGAAAAAGGGGGAAAAAAGACTGTAAAAAAATTAACAGAGCGAAAATAACCTGCAAGGCAGCATCAAGCAGTCAAACACACAGGTATTTGGAGTCCCACAGGAAAGGGGAAGAAAAAGGAAAGGAAGATGTGAAACTATCTTCATTCATAGAAAACAGGGTCACTAATGTAGAAAATCCAATAAAATCTATAAAAAAAGTCTGCTAACAAATAAACTGTAGGATACAAGATCAATACATAAAAACCGATTGTATTTCTATATACTGGCAATCAGAAACTGAAATAAAAACCAGAACCATTTAGTTTAAGTAATCCCTGTACCCAGTGCGGGGCTTGAACTCACAATCCCGGAATCAAGAGTCGCATGCTCTTCTGACTAAGCCAGCCAGACGCCAAAACCAGAACCACTTAAAACAGCATCGACAATATGAAATGGTTGGAAATAAATCTGATGAAAGATGTGAAAGATGTACACTGAAAAGTACACAAAGGGAGCGCCTGGGTGGCTTGGTCGGTTAAGGGTCTACCTTCAGCTCAGGGCATGATCCCAGGGTCCTGGGATCCAGCCCCGAGTTGGGTTCCCTGCTCAGCGGGGAGCCTGCTTCTCCCTCTCCCTCTGCCTGCCGCTCCCCCTGCTTGTGCTCTCTCCCCCCGCTCTGTCAAATAAATAAATAAATAATTTTTAAAAAGTACAAAAAGTAAAGGAGATCTAAATAAATGGGCACATGTACCACGTCCCTAGGCAAGAAAACTCAATATTATTAGGATATCAGTTCTTCCCAGATTAATCTGTAGATTCAACACACTCCCAAATCAAGAGGATTTTCCTTCTGTGTGTGGAAACTGACAAACAGATTCTAAAATACATGCGGAAATGCGAAGGACCTGAAAGAAGCAAAACAACTTTGAAAAAGAAGAAAAGATTGGACAACTGGTGCTACCTGATTTTTAATATCAATGCAAGAATGAGTCAGTAAAGAAAGTCTTTTCAGCAGTGTTCGAACAATTCAACAGCCATGTATAAAAAATTAATCTGGAGCCATGATAGCACAATATAAACAAATTAACCCAAACTGGATCACAGACCTAAATATAAAACAGCAAAGTAGAAAATTTCTGGAAAAAAAATATAGGAAATCTCTGTGACCTTGGGTTAGGCAAAGTCTCCTCAGACACAACACTAAAAAGCACAGCCCACCAAGTGACAAATTAGTAAATAGGACTTCATCAAAATTCAAACCTCCTGCTCTTTGAAAGACTCTATGAAGAGCAAAAGGTCAAGCCACAGACTGGACAAAAATAGATGCAAAGCAATACATCTGGTAAAGAACTTATATTCACCATATATAAAGAACTATCACAATTCAATAATAAAAGAAACAACCCCACCCCCAAAACAAAACAAAGGAAACAACCCAATTTAAAAAAAATGGGCATAAGATTTGAACAGACACTTCACCAAAGAGGTATACAGGGCAAATAAGCACATGAAAGATGCTCAATGTCACTGCTCATTAGGAAAATGTGAAGTCAAACCACCACATCCTATTAGAAAGACTAAGGTTTTTTTTTTTTAAGATTTTTTTTATTTATTTGACAGAGAGAGACACAGTGAGAGTGGGAACACAAGCAGGGGGAGTGGGAGAGGGAGAAGCAGGCTTCCCACTGAGCAGGGAGCCCGATGTGGGGCTCGATCCCAGGACCCTGGAACCATGACCTGAGCCGAAGGCAGACGCTTAACGACTGAGCCACTCAGGTGCCCTGAAAGACTAAGGTTTTAATCATAATAATCCCAAACTAGAAACCACTCAAATGTTCATCAACAAGTTAATGGTTTTCAAAATGTGTTCTATTGATACAGGAATAATACTCAGCAGTAAAAAAAAAGGGGGGGGAATAAATAATTACTAAAAAATTTTTGTTTTATTAAGTTATCTCTATGCCCAACGTGGGGCTCGAACTCACGACCCCAAAATCAAGAGTTGCATGCTCGACCAATGGAGCCAGGCAGGTGGCCTGAGGAATGAATTATTAATCCATGCAAAACCATGTATGAATCTCAAAATAATTGAGTGAAAGAAGCCAATCAAAAAAAGAGATTCACATGAGAAGAATCTATATAAAACTCTAGGAGAAACAAAGAGAGCCTTGATAATTGATGGTACAGTAAGTGGTCAAACATACATGTGTTTGGAGTCTGAAAAGAAGAGGAAAGAGAGAATGGGGCAGAAAAGATATTTAAAGAAATAATGGCCGAAAATTCCACATTTGATCAAAAACATGAACCACAGCTGTGGGACAAATACAAAAGCCCACAGCTGCATATATCACAAACTGCTAAAAACCAAAGATAAAGAGAAAAAATTTAAACCAGACAGGAAAACATAGATCCCTACAAAGACACGGGATTTGAATGATTGCTAACTTTTCATCTGAAACAATGGAGGCCACAGAAAATGGAATGATCTCTTCAAAGTGCTTAAAGCATAAACTGTTCGCCTAGAATTCAAGAGCCAATGATATATCCTTCAAAAATGAAGGGAAAATAACGACTCTCCCGTTTTCTAGATGAAGAAAATAAGGCACAGAGAGGTTGGGCAATTCATCCAAGCCACACAACCAGAAGGGGCCGAGCTGGGATTTGAACCTCAGGGTTGCCTGATCTTAATGCTGTAGGGTCCTATGATTTTTATTTCATCCTCAGATTGCCAGATGCTTAAGATTATCCCCATTTCCCAGATGGGCAAACTGAGGCTGAAATGGGAAAAGCAGCTTGCCTGAGGTACACAGTGTGTCAGCAGGAGGAGCAAGATGTGTTATTTCATTTATTCCTCATCAGTACACTCTGGTGCACCTTCAGGATATCTTGGGGAGTAAGAGTAGGTACGACCAGGGCGCCTGGGTGGTTCAGTCAGTTAAGCCTCTGACTCTTGCTTTTGGCTCAGGTCACAATCTCAGGGTCGAGGGATCAAACCCTGCATCAGGCTCTGTGCTAAGCGTGGAGCCTGTTTGAGGTTCTCTCTCTCCCTCTCCCTCTGCCGCTTCCCCTGCTCACATGTGAGTACCCCACCTACCCCCCTCTCTTAAAAAAAAATAGTGGGTACTACCAATAATTATTTTGGGACAAGAGACATAAACCAGGATGGATGGGGGGCCTAAATATTTGACAGAGGCTTAGAGGGAAGAAGCATCTTGCCCGATGGTCCCCCCAAATTCACAGCTGAGCCGCGGAAGCGCGACAGAGCACCCGGACTTCCCACCCGGGAACCTGAGGCGCCCCACCTGGTCGAACTTGCGCTGCTTCTTCTCCAGTGTGCTCACGAGCTGCCGCTGCTGCTCTAGGTCCATGATGGCATCGTCCAACTCCTGCCCCAGCTGCCGGCGGCCCCGCTCCAGCCGCTCCACCGCCTCGGTCTTTTCTGCCAGGCGCTGGGCCAGGGCTTCGGCCTCGCGGGCTGCCCGGCGCCGTGCCTCCTCTCCAGCTTCCAGTGCCCCCGCCTCCTCCTCCTGGCGCCTCCGCCACTCTGACAGCTGGGGGTGGGGGTGGGAGGAGAGGGTGGGTGGCAGTCATGGCTGCGACCAAGGCGTGAGCTGGTAGTGCCCCACTTCCCAGAGGAGGAGACTGAGGCTGGAGGAGGGAAGTGACTCGCTGCACTGGGTTCTTCTGCCTTGGAGCAGGGTTGAGGTTGTGAGTTGTGTGAACCTCAGCTTCTTCAGGAGATGAAAATTACTCCCACGGGGACCCAGAGGATGAATCAGACCTGGACTCCACCCTGGGGAACCCCCCTTAATGGGGGGGGAGACTGAGCATCATGCCCAGGGTGGTGGAGGCTAAGGTAGGAGAAGCATGGGAGCCGTGGGTGCCCACAGGAGGAATTTAGAATCTGTTTAGAATGTTCAAGAGGGACTTCCTGGAGGAGGGGGGCATTTGAGATGGATCCTGAAGTATGCATAGGAGTCTGCCAGTTGAAGAAGGATATTTACAGGCATGCATTCAGCACTCATTCATTCAACAAGCATTTCTCCAGGCCTCCTATACGTCAGGTTCCATGTTGGCCTGTGCTGAAGACCGAGATCTAACTC